TTCAAGAGCTTTTTTAATTTTCTGAGAAAGTACGGAATAAAGGAAACAAAAGTGCGTATCCCAACTGTTCCAACAGGAAGGGACAAAGATGCTTTTTCCATAACACTATTTGGCATCTAAGGTAATAGCAGCTCCTCAAAATATTTAGTCTCCACTTGAACTGAAATCCTTTGCCTCCCTCTCGCTAATTGCTGGCACATTCCCCTGCCATCAGGTTTGTTTCTCCCACAGTAAGTTTGACATGTATAAAAAAGTCAACACCCTCTCACCTTAAACCTCCACAGCTGTACCTTTAACTTGAACTTCTTGCCTTTTTTTTTGTAGCAAAAACCAAGCACAGACAAAACATTTCTAGCCCTATCGATAATGGAAATACCACCCACCTCCGGAGTGGTAACACTCATCCTCAGCTCTTACACATCCATGTTTTTCAGGTCACAGTACTCAAATACCCCTGAGGCCTCCCACGTGCCCCGGGGGTAGATCTGCAGTAGGGGAAGAAGTCAAAAGCAATCAGCACATCTGAAATGTGTCAGATTTCCTGACTCTGCCCCATTTTACTCTCAAGTACCACAGGACTTCTTACTGACTGTGCCATTGTTTACCAGGCTAGTGGTAAATAATGACCTAGTGGCTTCCTAGGAATTATTTCCAATTTACACTTGCATAAATTGTCCTGCCCTTCCCATTACCTTGCTTACCAACAAGAAAGACGCTACTAAGGACAAATGCAAAAAAAATACTCTCTCAGCCTTCGTGTTTAAGGGCCAGGTTCAAGTCCACTAAGCTTCACCCTCCTTGTGCTCTACATTGCTTCAAGACCAGAAACAAGCTCAGCACTGTGCTCTTTAAGAGGCAAATAAATGGTGAATCAAGCTTGTAATCCAGATTTTCTAATACGATGTGCTACGGTCATGTTTTAAACACAGTCAGAACCCGCACTGCCTGGGGGAAGGCTTCCAGGGTAGAGCGCAGGCTCACAAGGGGAGCTTGCCAGTAAAGGCAAACACGGCACTTCCAGCCAAAATCCTGTTTATCCCCTAAATAAAAACAGTATGTTTTTCTACCGTCTCTGCCCAGGACTAAGGAAGGAAGGGGAACGTCATTTCTTGCCCTTTCAGGAGCTCATACCTCACACCGAACGTGATAAACGCACCCGACCCCCCCTTCCTCCAGACCCGAAATGGTTTCTCTGCTGCTAAACAGGAAGTTCACAACATGTCTGGGAACTCCCCCAAAAACTGCAGGCTGCGCACCCTGCCTCACGCAGCTTCAAAACATTAATAAAACCACGCAAAGACTGTTACCTACTATTCGCGCTGCTGGTCAAACCCATCTCTCCCGCTGCCGCTTCTCTCCCGCACTGCCCCGACCGCAGAACAACCCAGGAAGTTTATTCCTGATGACAGTAATTTCCTTCCAGGTTATGGCAGCAGCCTCTCGCTGACTCAGCTCCGCTGGGTTATTTTCAGCCTCGCACTCCCCATTAGCAGCTGGAATTACAGTGTCCTTGGGCAGGGTGGCATGGACCATGTCCTGGTCACCCAGGCCCACGTCACGCGAGACCCACCGGAGCTAATCTGTCATTTCAGGGCTGCATTTGTAGATGGTTTATGAAAGCGCCTGTTCATACACATCACTCCTGCACGTACTTTTTTAAAGTTGATTTTCTAAAGGAAGATCTGGACATCATTAAACCGTCAAGACACAGCACAGCCCTCCATTAGGGCTAAGTATGTGACAGACAAGCTACAGCCAGCAAATTATTTCCAGCACCTGGAACAATATTAACACATCAGATGAAACACAGCTGGGGATCTACTTCCTCCAACTGCTCCAAGCAAGGAAACTGCAGGAATTGCCACAGTTCCAGTTCCTGTAAGTTAATAAAATACATGCTGGATTTAGAGCCTGAGAAGCCTGATCTCCTTAAGTTTCAGAGAATTCTCCCTCCGCCTTTCTTCTTTCTGTTCTCCTTGGTAAGAAAGTCTGAATATGTAAAGATACAAACTTCAAAAGGCTTACTCTCTCAAACATGGAGAAACACACAGCATTTACTGAGTCCCCCCAGTTTACTGAGTCCCCCCAGTTTGGTGTTTTTTTTTTTTTTTTTTTTTTTTTTTTTTTTTTTTTTTTTTTTTTTTAAAAAAAGGGAACATCTTAAGTTTGATTGTTTGGGTATGGCAATAGCAAAGTAAACATTCAGCTTTTTAAGGATTTATCCAGGAAGCAGACAGTACGCAAGCCAAAACACAAGTGCAGAGATACTTATGTTAAAGGATGTTTCTTACAACGTGAGGCTACTCAATTTGGTCATTACAGCTGTAAAAGTAAGCAATTAAACCATTTGGCTTATTTTTGTAATGTGTTTATGAGTAGCACAAATAAGAGCATGGCAATCCCTGCTACAGCAGGAGGTCGCACCAAAAAGAATCTGCTTCAATCACCAGCCCAGCTTTACACGTATCATTGAAAACCAGGATCTTTCCTTATTTCATCATGAATCGTCATTTCTTCGCTGAAGCATATATTTACTTGCTGTACTTGTGGGTACCACAATGGCAATCCAATCTGAGAAGCATCACATTTGGAGTGAAAGCAGCCTCCCGGTTATCGAAGGTATCCACTGCTACTGTCCCGGGCAATAACTCAGCAATTGCTGAAAAAACTTTAGGGCACCTAAAGATCTTGCTTTCAAGATGTTTTCTTAAAGGTACTAAATTAACCAGCAAGCTAAGGCACTTCAAGAGAATAAACAGGGTATGCTCTGGAGACACGAGACAAACCTCAACATGGGAGCTGAAAACCATGCAGGGAGCCATCTGCATCACAGCAGAAGAAAACCACAGTCTAAACCATCCCTACTAACAAAGCAGCGCTGCTACCAATGAAGAATCAAGGGCAGGGGCATCAAGAAATCCTGTCCCCCAGCTTTGAGCAGGGACAAGTTCCTATCACAATGGTGGCCCTATCACAATGGTGGCCCTATCACAATGGTGGCCCTATCACAATGGTGGCCCTATCACAATGGTGGCCCTATCACAATGGTGGCCCTATCACAATGGTAGCCCTATCACAATGGTAGCCCTATCACTCTGACACAGCAGAATTTGTTCCTTAATCAGCACTGCCACCTTGTGAATTTCTTCTGCTAAATCAGTTGGGTTTTCCAGCTGTCCAGTTTTCAGGCAGTTTATGCTCAAGATACTTTTGTATTGCTGACTGGTGGGAAGTACACAGCCCCCTAAAAAAATATCTGCATACCCTCTGCATACCCACAGCACTTAAGAACCTGTAAGTACTGCTTACCACATAGCACTGATCAAGCCAGCTGAATTGCTTTTCAGTGTTTCTTCATTTGTGACAAAGTGGAGTCACTCAGGTTCCAGACAGAGGGTAAGGATTTATGGCTAGCTGGTAGCAATACAGGAAGCTAAGAAAAAACCACAGTAGCTGCCTGAAACTGTTTTCAAACCCTATTTTTCATGATCAAACCTTCAGGGTGAAACATGCTGTAAATCTTATTTTTATATCTTCATCAACAATATGAAGATGATCACAAATACCCTCAATTAAGGGAGGAATTGCTGGTGGCACAGGTGAGTGCACCACACTTATCAACAGAAGCATGTAAGGTGTGGGACAAAGGCACCCAATGAATGCAACATGCACAGCCCTGTTGAGGAGTAGCTTAACATCAATAAGCCCGAAAACAGTAGAGCCAAAACCAAGAAGGGTTCACACAGCTCGCCGTCAGACCAAGGAACTTTCAGTCCCTGCTACACCGCAGCATGTGTCGACACACTCTCAGACTTCACCGAGAGCCAGAGTGACAGCCACAGGAACCATGCCTGCTAGAGGCAGCTCTGGCATCAGCCGAAGCAAATGCACATCAAGCAAAACCTGTTTCACAAACCTTCTCTGCTTAAAGGAAACAGCATGATGGAGCCATGAGTTATTCACACTGTAATCACCCCCCTCCATTTCAACACATCTGAACGATCAAAGCAGAAGCTTGCCTGTTGCAGTTCCTTCGAAAAAGCATCTAGGGTACATCAGCACAGTTTGACAAAGCATTGATTCATCCATCCACATTTAAACAGGATAAAAACCATGAAGTTATATTCTTTATTTCCATTTTCCAAGTTTCAGTTAGAATACCAGCTTAAAATAAACGGATGAAGTAAGGTCAAATAAACTCATGGCATAACTGAACAGCAACCCTAGTCAACTACAGTTCCACAGGTGAAACTCCAGGAAACATCACCTTTACTCAAGTTAAATATTGCACCCCTTCTCTAACACAAGTTGAAAGGAGTAAGATGTTTCACCTTAAAAGAGCATCTAAGATTATTGGAAGTACAGGAATAGACTAGAAAAAACAAAAGTTTCCTATTTCCAATGACACCAGTATAGCAAAATAGTGAGTTGAAAAATATTTACAAACATATCTACACAACATGCCTAACAGTGCTCATACGATGCTCCAATGCACTGAAATTGCTAACACCACCGTTTCCTTCTCAAAGCCAGTTGTCCCCTCCGAAGAGCTGACCAGATCTGCCCCTCAGTTCTACTCCAATTAAGAGCCTTCTTGTTGGTCTTCAATCTTTGGAGCCAGGTAGTATTTTAAGTGTCCCATATCAGCAATCTTGTACTCCACAACTGGGAAAGAAAAAAAAAAGAGCATTCAGAAGGGTTCTTCAGAAACACCGTTTCCTTCTCAAAGCCAGTTGTCCCCTCCGAAGAGCTGACCAGATCTGCCCCTCAGTTCTACTCCAATTAAGAGCCTTCTTGTTGGTCTTCAATCTTTGGAGCCAGGTAGTATTTTAAGTGTCCCATATCAGCAATCTTGTACTCCACAACTGGGAAAGAAAAAAAAAAGAGCATTCAGAAGGGTTCTTCAGAAAAGCCATTAGAATCATCGAATAGTTTGGGTGGGAAGGGACCTCTGAAGGTCATCTAGTCCCCCCCCTGCCCAATGACACCAGTATAGCAAAATAGTGAGTTGAAAAATATTTACAAACATATCTACACAACATGCCTAACAGTGCTCATACGATGCTCCAATGCACTGAAATTGCTAACACCACCGTTTCCTTCTCAAAGCCAGTTGTCCCCTCCGAAGAGCTGACCAGATCTGCCCCTCAGTTCTACTCCAATTAAGAGCCTTCTTGTTGGTCTTCAATCTTTGGAGCCAGGTAGTATTTTAAGTGTCCCATATCAGCAATCTTGTACTCCACAACTGGGAAAGAAAAAAAAAAGAGCATTCAGAAGGGTTCTTCAGAAAAGCCATTAGAATCATCGAATAGTTTGGGTTGGAAGGGACCTCTGAAGGTCATCTAGTCCAACCCCCCTGCCATGGGCAGGGACACCTTCAACTAGATCAGAACTTGATCATTCAATCGAGAGTTCTTAATGCAGTTCTATGGTGACAGCATTCTACAAGGGTATTTTCAAGGAGAGCTGCTTGTACTTACCAAGAGGAACATCTGCAGACATGCTGAGTGTTACCGTAGGTGACAGGGGAGTGGCTTTGGTAAAAAAGTTCAAGTACCTCAGAGCAAAGGTCAATTGGACTGGCTCATTCATCTCTATTGTAACCTAGAAAACCATCAGCCGGGTTAGACCTCAATAAATGCGACAAGTTCCCCCAAGTCTCTCAAGTAATTCAGAGACCTCGTGCAAAGGCAGTCAGTGCTACCCCCCGCTCCGTTCTGCTGAGCACTGCTTGCAGGCCCCAGGGTAAGGGCCTAAAGTTGGCAATTGATTTGTTGACTCTAACCTATGAACCAGAGAAATACACGATCCAATCACCCAGCTTTAGCACCCAGTAGGTCAGAGAATTAATCGTATTAGTAGAAGCCTCAACACTGAAGACACCACAGTGAGCACGAATGCTTAACTTACAGCTTCTTCCTCTTTATCCACGTTACTGGTCTGTGACAGCTTGATGTTTCCATTTCCCAGCTCTCCATTAGCTGAAAATTTCACACCATCTTTTGCACAGGAGATGACAACTGCATCGCCAATGTGGCTGAGATCTCTACAGATGCGGGCAAATTCAGCAGAAGGCATTTTCACTACACAACTATATTCTTGTTCCTGCGAAGGAAGCGTCACAATTAAACTTCTACCAAGAAGCTTGGTGTAGTCACTACACCTGGGTTTGTGTACTCTTTCCAAAGGAAGTTACGTTACAAGCTCAAACTAAGTCTGATGGGAACATGGGAAAACACCCGTTTCTAAGAGTCTACTCAGTCATTCAAGCCACTACTTACTGGAATCCCAAGCTGCTCCACATCGAGATCCATTAGCTTCATCTCATAATCAGAAACCTTCTCCTGATCTAAAGAAACAAAACAACAAAACACAACACTTGACCAAGTGTTTCCAAGAAGTTATCATCCTGAATTTAAGTTTTGCCCCCTTCCCCCTCCCCCCAAGTAAAAATACCTCAGTTATGACAATAAGATCCACCTTGTTTAATTAGAGCTAGAAATCTGAAAGCGACCCAAACAGCCTTCTGTAGGCTCTAAGAGGACAGGAACCTGCCAAGGGCATCTGTACGTGGCCTAAAGAAGAGTCTCTCTTACAAAGAAAGCATTAGTCAAGTTGACTAAGCTTACATCTCCAGGCTGTTTCAAGAGTTTAAGTATCAGGTGACCCTTCCCATTTCTTAAGTATTTCTTCTTGCTTCCCCCCATCCCGGCATCTGCTTGGTCTATGGATACTACCAAAAAATATCACAGTAGCAAGTTAGTTCCCAAATACGACACTCACTTGGTGCTTCAAACACTAGGGCCAATGTATCCGCGTTGTCTTCTGCTCGGAGAGTTATGATGTCTTCGTTTCCAGCACATTTCAGTATTTTGGACATGCTAGAGGTGGACAAGAGGTGGGTCACTCACTGCATTACGAGCGGACAGAGCAGGAACACCAGCCCGCCGCC